ATGTGAGCAAAGCACCATGGGAGACATTCTATCGACCCGCACAGCCAAGACTTAAGCTATTAATTATCTTTGTTTGTTTGTTTCTGCCTTTCTTTCTCATTCCCTGTTGTCCCTTTTCTTTCGTCTTGGCACTTGCTCTTTCTCTGCGCCCTGGACAGATGTGCAAACACTCCCATGAAGCTATAAGGAGACGGCATGGCACTGCAGTGATGCTCATGGTTATTCATATCACGGCCATCAAGTCTCAAGCCATCCGTCCAGCATCCTCTAAATACAGCTGTGGGAGTGGTCTGGATATCCAAAGTTACATAATGGGGCCTTTTTATATGGTGTATGAATAAAAACATAAAGCATGAATAAATGCACATAACTGTCACCATTCCTTCTGTCCATATCCAACCAACAGCAATGAGTTACAACAAATCGTGGAGGTGCTATTAGCATTTTTCTTCTGAAGTACTTTATACTAGCATATTACAGCTAGATTTGTCACAATATCAAAATCTGAGTAGTTGGTACCCTGGGAATGATCTTAAAAGTGGGGGACACATTATAAACCTGGCTCATGAATATTAATTAGGTGATTTAATGTTTCCCCAGTGAGTGCTAGCCATATAAGGAGTAACATTTACCGATTGGGCGTTAAATTGATTGACTGCTGATGCAACCAGTAGACAGAGGATTCTGCTTAGTCTTTAAGTTGTTTTATATCACCGTTTTGCTTTTTTTTTTCTTAACTACAGCCACCAAAACACTCTTATAAACTATTGACTACTTTTCTTAGCTCTTCTTTTGACTAATATGACTTCCACAATTACATTCCAAACAGAACAGTTTCTTATTAATTCAACATTATATAAATGCAAGCCCATTTTTCATTTCATTTCATTTCAACCCATTTTCATGGTTTTTAAATGTTCCCTCACTTCCAAATTGATTGTCTTTCCTACTGGTGAACGCAATTTCACATGAAACTTGCTCTCCATTCTCACGCAGCAGAGCAGTTCTAAGAACAAAGATTTTCTGGATCACTTATTTAACTAACCAATGCACTAATGAGTTAATCCATTACGCACTGCCCATCTACAGTCATGCAAAAAGTATTTGGCCACACGTTTTTAAGCCAGGGTGTATTTTGAGCCCCGTTGTTCCTGTTAGAAGGGAAGTGGGATTTTTCTACAATGGAGCCTGAAAATAAATTTTCTACAGTAAGTGTGACTGGAAGCATGCAAAAGTGGCAATTATACTTTATCAACTGTTGTTCACTTCCACAATTTATTCCAACTCTGAACTGTGAGTTCACAAGAACCACACCTCAGATTTACTTTTCAAGAGTTATGTTTCTAACCAACCAAACAACCTTGAGCTTTTGGAGCAGAGTGGGAAAGCACCCTGATTCTCCATTCATGAGTAAGGGCCAGATCTCAGGATAGAATATTGGAGAGGAACGTGTTGATAGCCTCAATACATAGGAGAAAGCATGGACACATGAGGAGGATACTGTTACCCTAGAGAAAAGAAAGGAGTATGACTCCATCTCCCCAAGAACTTCCTCTAGGCAGTTTTGAGTATTCTCACAAGTGCTACCGTCAGACCTGGAGATCGGCTGAATGGATTCGAAAACGGTAAAACTCAACTGTTTAACTCTAGGGGAGTTGGAAAATGAGCCTATTTTCAAAAATAGTGGAGTGTTCCTTTAAGTTTGAGTTTCAGTTAATTGCTGAAAACTGTGGCGAAGAAAAACAAAAAGGAAACCATTGTAAAACCTTTTTTTTTTTGAGTCATTTAAGTAGGACTTAAGTATGTCTGTAAATTCAAAATTATTTATATTATTTATTTATTATGTTTAAACTGCCAAATATACTGACCAGCTTTTATGGTAAACTTTCTTTTCTGTTGAAACCTTTATGTCATATATTTGTAAGTACACAACTGTAATGCAAAAAAAAAACACAATTTAGTACATTTAAAATATATTTCTTTGTATTTCATAAATATTATCTGTACCATTTTTTTTAAATATATACTTTTAAGAATTGAAGTACACTGCACATTCAATACAATTATGCACACTTCTTTTTCACAAGGGAATACCAGTGCAAATATGCAAATACTGTGGTTGGTCGCTTTTTTCCAGTCAGACCCTCTCTTCCTGTCTGAGTGGGCAGTTCTTGGCCATAATAAGCTACAATGAAGACCACACAATGCTGCATGATGAAATTTGGACTAAGTGAGACTATCAAATTTAAAAACTATTCCCAAACTGAATGAAAACACTCTTACCCTCTTCCCGAGATTTCTGGATGAAGGCGTCCACGCCACTCTCTCCGTAATTCCCTTCCGATGCCACCGTGGAGACGTAATTCCAGCGCATGGCCCTGACAATATCCACCATAGCCTGTGCCTGATAGGTGTCCGGCGGTACCACACGGGAGAAGAAGTCATAACGGGTGTTGTCACTCAGCTCAGGAGCCGTGGAGGCATAACTCACCTGGGGAATCTGTAGGAGGAGACAGAAACATAAATCCCATTCAGGCATTGAAGTACACAATTCCCCAAAACCCCTGCTGCTTCTGAGCTCACCTCTGACAGATTATAACATGCTCCATCATACCAGACTAAATCCATCCCCTACCAAGCTCTCTCTTACACAGCCACAGGTGGTACACTCAAGACCGCGGGGATGAGCGCAGTCCATTCTGAAATAATGTGCGTGGAAAGCAACAACAAGCTGGTCAACAACTACCAGACTTTTGCAGACTAGTTTACAGGAACTCCAATGAGATGAGAGTCTCTTAAAGGAATAGCTCACTTCAAGTATAATTTTCTGCTTTATTTACTCACCCTCATGTCTCTCCAAACCCACATTAGCTTTGTTTTTTTGGTGGAATTCAAAAAGTGAATTTCTGAAGAATATCTTGGCATTGACATCTGCTTTAGCTCTCTTTGGCATGTTCACTAGAGTTCATGAGAGACATCTGACTTGTGAATTAATCATTATTTTGAGTTGGATCATCTGATTCGCTTCACAAAACTGTTTGGAATGATTCTGATTCTTGACCTTAGCTCTTTCGACTCAATGAGCTGGTCATAGTGATCAGATTTTCAGCTTCAATTTCAGTGTCACACAGTATAACTTTAGAAAGCTTGCAATACACAATTCATATGGACTACTTTTACTTTGACTGTGTTTTTGAAGAATTCAAAACAACCCAATAGATTTAGGCCCTTCAAAATGTCATCTTCTGAGTTCTGAGGAAAAAAATGAGGACATGAGAGTGAGTAAATTATGATTAAGGTTGAACTAACCCCTTAAGGGTCTCCTTGGCTGAATCGTGTTGAGAATTCGTACACAGGCTACACCGAACAACAGAGACACAAATCAGGCGTGATGTGAAACTTAAGAAATCACCATAAAATGGATCGCTGGTGATGCTCGGAATACATTAAGCTAATGTCAGACATAACATAATGGATGGCTTGCACCACCAAGAATGTAATTTATACATGTTTATTAACTTGGCTATTGTGAACATACTCTGGCTTTTAAGCCCACTCTCAGCAGACATAATACCAGTGGTATGGCTCCATTAAAAGGAATCATAAATTCATCTGCGCAGAGGACAACAAAATATCAGTCAAAACAATAAACAAATGAGAGGCTCTTTCTAAATCAAACAAACTGCAGGTCGATCATCGTCCACCTTGATATTGGCTAGTAATATTTATTGAGAATATCTAAAAAATTAAGCTTGAACCATAATTTTTCATACAGCATGTTTTAGATAATATTTTCTTACATAATAGAAACCAACTAGTTTACAAATAAAATAAGTGTGTGAATTTCTTTTCAATGTTTTTACAGTTGCTTTGAGGTAGACTTACATAACGCTGAATGTCAATTTTGCCTTAGATTTAACTTTAATAAGCATTATGTCACCATTTCAAATGCCTTACTCAAGCATTTATCAATGAAATCAAATCATGCATGAAAACTAATTCAGGAATATAAATGCAAATCTTAAAATAAAATACTGGAATGTAAATATTGCATCCTAATGTAGAGCTATAGATAGATTCATATGCATAGTAATGCCTCTGGGTAGCTAGTGGTCTTGCTCTTCATACAATAATTTTGCAGGTCAGAGGAATAGTGACAGGCTGAATAAATTCCTGTAAAGCAGCTCTTACTGCCTGGCAGGTCACGCAATGTTGGCATTCAGTGAGTGAATATGATACTAAAAATATATAAATAATGTTTTCTTCATTCTGTTTTTCAATGTCTGGTGACTTATCTTGAGTGAACATTGCATTGGATGGGAAAAACCCACACCTGCATGTCTGCAGAGGGTGCATGACTTTGGTAAGGGCCACACACATCTGTACAATTAATAAATAGCTGTAGACCAAAACAACAATATCAAATAAATAAATAAAAAGAAATAAAATAAAATAAATGAAAAGAAAAGAAAAATATTAATTCAATAGTCGTCACCAATACCAGCATCATTTTACAATTCATATATAAATAATGTTTTCTTCATTCTGTTTTTCAATGTCTGGTGACTTATCTTGAGTGAACATTGCATTGGATGGGAAAAACCCACACCTGCATGTCTGCAGAGGGTGCATGACTTTGGTAAGGGCCACACACATCTGTACAATTAATAAATAGCTGTAGACCAAAACAACATCAAATAAATAAATAAAAAGAAATAAAAGAAAAGAAATGAAAAGAAAAGAAAAATATTAATTCAATAGTCGTCACCAATACCAGCATCATTTTACAATTTTTGGTACCATTGCAAAAACAAATATGCTACTGAACAAAGCTTTTTATTTGTAAAGTTAATTATTAATATAAATAATAAAAAAAATCAATTAAAATTGACTATAGCCTTCACATTTTCTTCAAGGTAGTAGCAAATTAAATAAAAATAAAAAAGAATGACGAAGCAAAGACAGCTTTGAGTTTTTGCAGGTATCTAACAGCAGTTTCAAGTATTCAAGAAATTTCCAGATAAATATCCAAATAAATATAAAAAAAAGGTAATAATATATATTTTTTAAGTATCGTAGGTCTATTCTCAGTGGGTAAAGCAAAATACTAATATGAAGAGGCAAACATTTATATCACCATGAAAACAAAGAACCGCCTACAAGAAGATCTGTTACGCTGATATATTTGCAGCACATGTTGATGTTTTCAGCCAGGGATGTGCTAAAATATATGTATACAAATTCTGTCAGGGCCAATAACTTAATGCATTACTCAACCGAGAAGAAGCTAACTCACATGGCATCGAATGTGACAAGTACGGATGGACGTCACGCCAAGTAATGAAGAATCAAAATATTGCTGAAGCATTCTGACTGTTTTTTAAGTATCGTAGGTCTATTCTCAGTGGGTAAAGCAAAATACTAATATGAAGAGGCAAACATTTATATCACCATGAAAACAAAGAACCGCCTACAAGAAGATCTGTTACGCTGATATATTTGCAGCACATGTTGATGTTTTCAGCCAGGGATGTGCTAAAATATATGTATACAAATTTTGTCAGGGCCAATAACTTAATGCATTACTCAACCGAGAAGAAGCTAACTCACATGGCATCGAATGTGACAAGTACGGATGGACGTGTGCACGCCAAGTAATGATCAAAATATTGCTGAAGCATTCTGACTGACATTACTCTGCATGACACAAAGACATTTTCAAGGCTTTTCTTTTCTGTAGCTAAACCAACAGCTGTAAAATTATAATTTCTGTTAATGTTAAAGAAACCATTTGTCAGGATTGAAAAAAATCTTGTTTATAATGCTGCATTTGACCCAACACCAAACCTTGGCATCGCTGAATTATTTGTAAATGTCATTGAAATGGTTCAAGTCACCCTTGCTGATTTCTTCAACAAAGATTTATTTAATATTCTACACTGAAACGAGGGACAGAAAGAGGATTGTGAAGATTCTATTTTCATTGTGTCCAAACCTCTGAGGAGTTCTTGAAAAGAGGACCAAAGGTTACAGCTGTTGCTTCTCCTAACATGTGCATGTCAGAAGTAATTTAAAATAAGATTTATTAAACAGACGGTCTAGGTCAAGGGCACCTAATCACAGGCGGCAGCTCTGTATGAAATTAATGTGACTATGCACTGCTCTGAGCCATGTGCGTATGCATACACGTTTGCATAATTATGTTTGACTGGTATATGCAAAGGTCAGAACTAGCGTTTGTCTAATAAATAGCCATATGCAATGTGCATTTAATGTAGTCCTTTAGATCAAGTACTGTGTCTCAATGTACTATTTGCTATCATTAGATGAAGTGAATGCAATTATAACATCTAAATACTGCGGTTTCATCTGTCAACGAATGAGCAAAACGCAAGAAATATGCTACTTGTATCTGGTGCCGATGACATTGGGAGACCCAGAAGAGGTTTGTGGACAAACTAATTTGAAACAAATATCCTTCTTCCATATCTAACGACTTCTCAACTGGTATCAGCTGTTGTTTATACTGATTGTCAATGCAATTTTCACATCTGTTACTGTCAAGCTGAGCAGGGCAGCAAATGGCTGAACTGTGAGAACAGAATGACAAAAAACGTTGCGTAATTATTGAACAAAACAGATTGGAACATACTATAGCCAATTTTCAGAGAATATTTGCCCAAATAATTAGAGAGGAGGAGCGTCGGCCTAAATATAGAGAGCATCGAGCTACACCTTATTTCTTAAATCACTGCATCCCAAATGTTGTAATTGTATTGCAGAATCAATGGCTTTTTAGCCACACCGCATGCCCAGACAAGCCCATTGACAAAACGGCAGTATCTCTGGTGCTAACAGAGGCATTTAGAAACTCAATCCTCCCTTTTTCAAGGCCGCAAGCTAATTGAGAAATCTGCTGGTGTATTGGCCGAGCTTCCCTCACGTCTGATAGTTTGACAATCTGTTCTGCCATCAATGGCATGTTTCTGTAGTGACTTCCATTCACAAGTGAATTACTTTGTCTCCAAACGTGGTTCTCAACTAGTTTGATTTTATAGATATCAACTGGCAACTGGTTTCCCTAAAATATTAATATTAATAATAATAAAATGTATAAATGTGTTATATTGGGACTAACATGTTATTGCAAAACATTTATTTTATGTGGAAGTTATTGCATGTTTATTATATATATATACAATATACCAAAAATTGTAACACTGAATATAAATATATAAACAAATAAGTGATCATAATATTTCATAAATATAATATGATATAATTTATATTTTTATAATAATGGTTATATTGATTTATTTATATTTTGTATAATGATTCTTGTTCTAAATAAGTCTGAAAGGATTTTTTGGTATATGAACTTTTGTTACACAGGTAAAAATGTATGATAGTTATTATTTAAAAAAAAAAAAAATTAAACAAGTCACATTCTAATGTACAGGGGGAAAAAAAGTTGTATTATTAACTTTTATTATTTTAATG